AGTCACCCTCACAGGAAGTCCTCCCTCCCCTGTCCACTCTCACAGGAAGTCTTCCCTCTGCCCACACTCACAGGGAGCCCTCCCTCCCCTGCCCATGCTCACAGGAAGTCCTCCCCCGATCACACTCACAGGAAGTCTTCCTCCCCTGCCCACCCTCACAGGAAGTCCACCCTCCCCTGCCCACCCTCACAGGAAGTCCTCCCTCCCCTGTCCACGCTCACAGGAAGTCTTCCCTCTGCCCACACTCACAGGAAGTCCTCCCTCCCCTGCCCGCCCTCACAGGAAGTCCTCCCTCCCCTGCCCGCCCTCACAGGAAGTCTTCCGGAACCTGAGCCACTTGCCCACCTTCAGCTCCCCGGCCATCGAGAGTCACATCCATCGCATCGAGGGGCTGTCGCAGAAGTTCATCTACCTGAACGACGACGTCATGTTTGGCAAGGATGTGTGGCCAGATGACTTCTACAGCCACTCCAAGGGGCAGAAGGTGAGCGGGCGCCCAGGGCCTGGGTGCAGATGTGGCTGGAAGTGTGCAGAGCTTGAAGCCCGAGAGTCAGAAGTGCGGGGTAGAGCAGGTGTGGTGGCACACACCTGTGATCCCAGCACTGGGAGGCTGAGACAGGATCGCCACATGTTCTAGGCCAGCATGGGCTGCACAGTGAGTTCAAAGCCAGCCTGGACTAAAAGCGAGGTCCTGTCTCCAAAACAAAACAAAGAGGCATTAAAAACTAGTGCAGGAAATTCGCTTCATTCTCAGATGCCCAAAACTACTCCTCTAACTCCAGTTCTGTACCGCAGAACTACTATGGAGCGAAGGTGGGTTCCCAGCCAGCAGGGGAAAGTCAGCTCTAGAAGAGACGGGCTGATGTCCTGGGCCCCTTGCACGCGCTAGCACGAGTCCTCTGTCCGGGAGCGCGGCAGCGCCGGCTCCCGCTCCGGGCCGCCTGCTCACGCTGGCGGGTTCCCCGCTGTGCAGCCCCGACCGTGTGAGGCAGCTGAGACGTCACGCGGTGAGGAACCGCAAGTGCGAAGGAAGGGCAGAGCCGGGCAGAGGACCGGAAGTGGGGAGACAGCTGCGGCTCACACAGGAGGGCGTCGAGGGGCGGGCGGAGGGTGTGCGGGAGGATGGAGATGGGTCACGCGCACGTCCCAGCTCTCCTCCGTGTGACCGCGGGGTGGACTCAGGACCGGCGGAAGCCACGCGGTGTGGCCATTCAGAGCGCTCTGTGGGTGCCGGGAGCCCACGTCTCGGTGCTGCGGGGAGCTGGCGCGGGGCGTCCGGGTGCTGACGGGTACCTGGTGCCCCGCGAGGGGCTCGTCACTGCCGCTGAGAGGCAGACCCCCGGGACTGGTGTGCACACGGGGCTGCCGGGAGCCGCCCCGCCCCGCCCTGGGGTTTTGGAGAAGCCGCAGCCTTGGTCTGCCTGGGCAGAGCCTGTGACGGGAGCGGGCGGAGCGCAGAGGCTGTCAGGGGAGGGCGTGCGTGAGGTGCTTGTAATTTAGGAAGTCATCAGGGCCCAGTGCGGAGTGCACGCCCGCTATCCCGGCCACTCCTGCTGGGGCGGCCATGGGGTGCAGAGTGGCTGCAGGGACCTTGAGCCTCTACCGAGCCCCTCCCCCTCCTCTCCTCCCCACTTCCCCTCTCCTCCACTTCCCAACCCCCCAACTCCATCCTCCTCCCCCTTCTCCTTCCTCCTCCTTTGGTTTTGTTTTGGTTTTGGTTTGGTTTTTTGGAGACAGCTTACTGTGTAGCCCCCGGCTGCGATCCTCCTGCCTCAGCCTCCTGAGGGTAGCATCACAGGCGTGAGCCCTCATGCCTGGCTTACTTTCTTTTCTGAAGGTATTTAGTGGAAGAGCGGAAAGCATCACAAGTCACCCTGTTGCCCTCTGGCTGGTTGCAGGTTTACCTGACGTGGCCTGTGCCGAACTGTGCCGAGGGCTGCCCAGGCTCATGGATTAAGGACGGCTACTGTGACAAGGCCTGCAACAACTCGGCCTGCGACTGGGATGGCGGTGACTGCGCAGGTAGGGCTGTGCTGAGAGGGTGCTTGTGGGTGTCCACCCTGCCCCGAGGTGGTGGGCACTGTCCCCCTGTGCCCACTTTTTTTTGTCTTTTTGAGACAGGGTCTCGCTATGCAGTTCAGGCCAGCCTTCAGCTTACTCTGTAGCCCAGGCTGGCCTCGAACTCGCAACGATCCTCCTGCCTCAGCCTCCCAAGTGCTGGGATTGCAGGTGTGCACCACCACACCCAGCTCCCATGTGGCCGCTTTGCTCATATTTCCTGTTGTTGAGAGTCTTCATCACTGTGGGCCTGCACGGGAAAACACCTCTTCCTACCACTTTTTTTTTTTTTTTTTTTTTGGTTCCAGGAATTGAACTCAGGACCTTGTGCTTGCCAGGCAGGCGCTTGTGCCACTGAGCTATATCTCCGGCCCTCTTCTTACCACTTAAATAAAATCTAGCTGGGTGTGGAGGCACACGCTGGAAATCCCAGCACTCAGGAGGCTGAGGCAGGAGGATAAAACGTTAAGCCCAGCCTGGGCAACTTAGAGACTTAGTGAGACCTTGTTTTAAAAGGGGAGAGGGGCTGGGGATGTAATTGAGTTTGAAGGCTCTGGGTCCAACTCCCTGAACCACCCCCCCCCCCCCCACACACACACACACACCCCGGGCAATGCCTGTGTTCAGTCGAGTATTTTTGTTTGTTTCAGCCATAGTCTTTGGAATTGTGTCTCCCTACTAAGGGCTTCTGTCCATAATTGTCCACACCCACACCCACTTGTGCGCTGCAGGTCCAAGTCCTGTAGTGCGGTCCGGTGGTGGTTTAAGATCCATGAACTCTTCAAAAATCCCCGCACTGAAGCCTGGCGTGGTGGCACACGCCTGTAATCCCAGCACTTGGGAGGCTGAGGCAGGAGGATTGCTGTGAGTTCGAGACCAGCCTGGGCTACAAAGTGAGCTCAAGGCCAATCTGAATTGCATAGCGAGACCCTGTCTCAAAAAAAAAATAAATCAATAATTAAAAAAACAAAACAGAACACGTGCTGAGCGCTTTCGGACTGCACCTCACACTCAGTCTCGCACACTTGAGTAAGAAGAAAGGGCCAGTGTGCTCTCACCCTGGTGTGCCAGTGAGACCCTGTGTCCCCGCAGGGAGCAGCGGAGGCAGCCGTTACGTGCCCGGCGGTGGCGGCCTGGGCAGCGTGGGCGGCGGGCAGCCCTGGCAGTTCGGGGGCGGCCTCAGCAGCGTCTCCTACTGCAACCAGGGCTGTGCGAACTCCTGGCTCGCTGACAAGTTCTGTGACCAGGCCTGCAACGTCCTGGCCTGCGGGTTTGACGCCGGTGACTGTGGCCAAGGTACGGTGAGCGCCGAAAGCTACGGCGCAGGGGAGGCTCCGGCAGGTCGAGGGCTTCCGGTGGTGGTCGTTTTTCTTCGGAGGAGTGACCCTCGGCCTGCTGCCCTGGTGTAGGTTAGCCTAGGGAAGGGCGGGGAGCGCTGAGTGGGTGGGTCGCAGTGGGCGTGCGGTCCTGGGAAGCCGGGTGGGGGTAGCGTGGTAGCGGAGGGATTTGGACAGAGCTTCTCGCAAGAAGGCGGAGGACGGGCGCTGAGCCTCGGCTCTGAGCGAGGGACTCGAGAGGCCCCGTCTGTGTGATACGGGTGCTGAACGCGGCTCAGCTCGGCTCCGCCGCCGACTGCTTAGACGGCAAAGTCCGCGCTGCGCCTGCACTGGCGGTGTCGTGGTTTCTGATCGCTTTAAAGTCGTTCTTGGTAAAACTCACCTAGCCGATGAAAGAGAAGGGAGTAAAATGCTTGCTTTATTTTTTTAAAGCCGTGTGTGTGTTTCCCTCCAGATCATTTTCACGAGTTGTACAGAGTGACCCTTCTCGCGAACCAGACTCACTACGTTCTCCCGAAGGGCGAGCGGCTGCCTTACTTCAGCTTCGCGGGGATCGCCAAGAGAGCCGTGGAGGGGTCCTATAGCGACAGCCCCGTCATCCGGCACGCCTCGGTCGCCAACAAGTGGAAGACCGTGCACCTGCTCCTGCACGGCGGCATGAACGCCAGCACGCTCCACCTGAACCTCACGCTGCAGGACGCTGCCGACCAGGAGTTCAGGCTGCAGCTCGCGGTCGAGGTGGACACGAGGGAGAGCCGCGGGCTGAACACCACCACCCAGAGTCCCCGCACACGCAGCAGCCCCGCGACGCCCCTGCCCGAGGCCGAGGTCCTCTTTGAGGACGTGCCAGAGGAAAAGCGCTTCCCGAAGGCCCGCGGGCGCGGAGGTGGCCGGGAGGGGCGGCTCTGGGAAGAGCTGCGTGTCCCCCCGGTGAATGTCTCCCTGCTCCCCAGAGACACGCAGGCCAGGCTCAGGGTGCTGGACGCGCAGCTGGCGCAGGGCGACATCACAGCGAAAGGCTACAATTTGTCCAAGTCGGCCTTGCTGAGAGCCTTCCTCCCGAGCCCCCTGGATGCCGCAGGCACAGCCGAGCCGGGGGGCGGCGGGCGGGCTGCGGAAGGAAGGCCGCGTCTCAGGAGCCTGGACGGCAGCCGGGGCGAGCAGAGATCCCAGCAGCCCACTTCGCTGGCCGGGCCAGGGGCGGTGAAAGGGATCGGCCGCGACGAAGGTCCGGACCCAGCCCTGGTCTCGGAGCCCAAGGCCGGGTTTCAGCCGAGAACTCAGAGCCCAGCGCTGAGCCGCACGGTGGTCAGAGAACAGTTCTCACCCCTGGTCCTCCCGCCCACAAAGCGCACGGCGAAGGGAAAGAAAGCTGCCGTGCAAGGAGAGGACAGCCATGTGGGGGCGGGCACTGCCCACCCCGAAGACGCCAGGGCCGCGCTGCCCAGCCGTAGGCTGCAGCAGGCCGACACTTCCCGCGGGTTCCTGCCCTGGGAGAAGACGGGGTACTTCCGCGACCTCCTGGAGGTGCGTTAGCGCCGGCCCCTCCTGCCTTGAGAGTGACAGCGGGGTCAGGCTGCTGTCCAGCCAGTGCTCCTCCCAGGATCCCAGCTCTGTGGTCAAAGGCCCTGAGGGTGCTTCCTGCTGCCCTGCTCCCCGCAGCTGGCAGCTCGGGACGGCACGCTGGGGCAGGGTGAGGCGGCGGTGGGGGGTGGATCTGCCTCTCCCGCCTTCCTGGTCGTGCAGTTGGCGAGGGCCAAGGGTCCCGTGTGCTGTCCCAGAAGGGAGCATGGTGGGCGTTGGTCGCCCGGGAGCCAGGAGCAGGAGGCGCCTCTGACGGGCCTGACCCCTGGCCTCCACCTCGGCTGGGCAGTCGTACAGTCTGCACGGCGGAGCAGCTGGGATGATTCCGCGTGCTCAGACCTCTGGTCTCCTGGGGACAGAAAGCTGGAAACACTAGAGGCTGGCGGGGCGGGTCGCGAGGGTGTGCAGTGCGCCCTGCAGTGCGTCTGGGTTCCTGGTCGTGTGGCTGCCCTCGGGTTCAGCAGCTGTGAGTGGCCACTCTGCTGTAACAGCTGTGGTTATCTCCGCTGCTCTGCAGTTACTAATAGTGTTGCAGTATTACTGTACAGGTACATTTTGTTGGTGTTTTTGTTGTTTTTTGAGACAGGGTCTCACTGTGGAGGCCAGGCTGGCCTCCAACTCGTGAGAATCCTCCTGCCTCAGCATCCCGAGTGCTGGGATTACATGCACCAGTGCACCCAGAGTGAGTCGGTGCTCTCCCTTCTCGTTAAGACATGATTCCCCTTCCAGGAGGAAGTGGCACTAAAGACCCAGCTGGCCTACCTCACCGATAGCAGCCACACTGGCCGGCGGCTCCAGGACACGTTCGCAGATTCGCTCCGATACGTGAACAAAATCCTCAACAGCAAGTTCGGGTTCACGTCGCGGAAGGTCCCCGCACACATGCCGCACATGATCGACCGCGTGGTCATGCAGGAGCTGCAGGACATGTGAGTCCAGCGCCACCCACCAGGCTAGCCCCGGGTGTGGGACAGGCGGTGCGGCCCCTGCTCACCGTCCCGCACCCTGCCAGGTTCCCCGAGGAGTTCGACAAGACGTCCTTCCACAAGGTGCGCCACCCCGAGGACATGCAGTTCGCCTTCTCCTACTTCTACTACCTCATGAGCGCACTGCAGCCGCTGGACGTGTCCCAGGTCTTCGACGACGTGGACACGGACCACTCGGGCGTCCTGTCGGACCGCGAGATCCGGACGCTGGCCACCCGGGTCCACGAGCTGCCGCTGAGCTTGCAGGTGGGCTCCGCACGGTGCCCCTCCTCGGTGGGTCTCAGTGTAACACAAGTGGCACGCACTCTTCACACTCCTCGTGGGTGTGCAAAACAAGTGCCGGAAGCCGGGCATGGTGGCACATGCCTGTAATCCCAACACTTGGGAGGCTGAGGCAGGAGGATCGTTGTGAGTTCGAGACCAGCCTGGGCTACAAGGTGAGCTCAAGGTCAGTCTGAACTGCATAGTGAGACCCTGTCTCAAAAAGAAAAAAAAAAAAAAAGTACCAGAATTAGAACCAAACTGGAAGTCTGTATTTTATGAAATGCTTTTTTTTTGAGACAGGGTCTCCCCGTGTAGTCCAGGATGGACTCGAACTTGCAGAAATCCCCCTGCCTCAGCCTCCTGAGTGCTGGGATGACAGGTGTGTGCCACCTCGCCCAGTGAGATTACTTGCTAGGGATGAAGCCTGTATTCTTTGGGAAGGAGCCAGGTGCAGGGCACCTACATGTGAGGGTTGTGTGCGGAGTCCAGGCCGAGTCTCCTGGTCACTGTCGGACTTGCCTCTGTCAGCTTCCCCAGCCACAGGAGCCTCTGGACACCTTGGGCACCTCGTGGGAGAGGGGAGTCCCGGGGGCCAGGCCCTGCTTCTCCACGGCAAGGACGAGACGTTTGTGTTTTCATTGTCTCCTGCTGCTCTTGCTGGAGATCTGTATGTTAAGAGTCACATCCAAAGCCAGCGTGTGGTGGGTGCCTGTGATCTCAGTACTCTGGAGGCCGAGGCAGGAGGATCACATGTTTGAAACCAGCCTGGACCGTACAGTGAGTTTCAGGCATCCTGGACTACACAGTGAGACCCTGTGTTGAAAATCCACACCCACAGAAATCATGCCAGAGCAACTCTGAGGGTAGCAGTTCAGCCGTTTTGGGTAGATTCTGCATAATTTGTATTTTAAAAACCACAATTATTATTTATACCGCCCACAACAGGTTTATCTTTGTATTTTGCTGCATTAGGATCTGACGAGTCTGGAACACATGTTAATAAATTGCTCAAAAACGCTTCCAGCTAACGTCACTCAGCTGCACGCCGTGCCCCCCACCCAGGAGGCCTACTACGACCCCAATCTGGTGAGTGCCGGGAGCTCCGCAGGCTTGGGCCCTGCTGGGGGTTCCTACCGGGCCGACGGGTGGGCCAGTCTGCAGCGTGTTGCTCAGGTTCCAGCAGGAGACCACTGTCCCAGGTCTTGGGACGTCAGCCAAGAAGTGGTTGGTGGGGGCAGTGCCCACGCCTTCCCGCTCTGACCTGGCTGCGGGTGGGCAGCGCGCTCCGCTCCATGAGGCCCCTGGGCAGAGTCACTGGGGACCTTTGCTCCTGGAGACCCGTGCGGGGAGCTACTCGGGGAAGGGTTTGACGCAAGGATGAGCGCCGTGGTTACTGTGGGCTTGCGGGTAGATTAGAAACGCTCATAGTGTGGGTTAGGGGGTGGTGTGGAAGCGCCGTGTGTGCAGTGTGAGTAAGTCTGAAACTCCTCACACCCGCCCCGTGTGTACACACAAACATGACACACTGCCCAGAGGACGGAAGCCGTGTTATGTCACATGTACTTTTTTTTTTTTTTTTTTGGTTTTT